CAAGCCAGCGGCGAGTTAATGTCCCTGGAGGCTCTATAGAGTTGCTGTATCTGCCCGGCAATTCTTGGTCTCACTCTTAATGTCATGAGTGTCTGCAGTAGTGTTGGTACTATTTGACATATGACACTTTCTGCGGTAGGTTATTACTTCTTGATAAACGCCACTTTATCATGTAACAATTCAGCTTTTGATTTCGCTAGGGGCATATATTGTTTCAGTCACTGTTTTCTCCGAGAGGCGACGATCGATTTGTTCCAGAACACGTTTTTGCAAGACAGTCAGTATGTCAAGCAAAACAATATTTTCTTTTGTTTGTTTGTTGTTTAACGCCGCACTCCGCAATATTCAAGCGATATGACGGCGGTCTGTAACTAATCGAGTCTGGACAAGACAATCCAGCGATTGACACCATGACCATCGATTCAAGCAATTGTTAGACATGATGAATCACTCACTGTAAACATGCATTTAACTTTGTATCCAGCTGTAACTCCCCCAGAGCTATGTATACTACTTAAAAGAAGTTATTACTATTAGCTATTACTTCATACCCAATCCTTCATGTCATAGCAGATCAACTGGTGTAATATGAAAGAATCAAGTGTTCTTTAACTTCTTTTTGAGTAGAATAAATATTTGGCGAAGCTTGACAAAGACATGCACTCAATCAGTTCAGCTGATGCATTCAGCTCAGTTCTATGGCGCCATGTTGCATCTGTGTGGTCACATGGTACAGTGACATTGTACAGCTCCAGGTCCGACACACTGATTTGTACTGCTGGGAGGTTTGTGTCGCCATATTATGGTCATACCAAGTAGTTAGCGTAAACCTCGGACGTAAACTAAATATCTAAGAGATCGTGTGGTTATTATATCTCATGTCTGTCTTGCCTGTCACATGGTGTGATCCATGTGTGCCTAGCCGTGTGTTACCAGATCACAAGTAACCAATGTTTGTATAGCTGTGTTACTTGATCCTCAGTAACTCATGTTAGTCTAGCAGTGTTATATGATTCTCAGTAACTCATGTTTGTCTAGCCGTGTGTTATTTGATCCTTAGTAACCCATGTTTGTCTAGCCGTGTGTTACTAGATCCTCAGTAACTCATGTTAGTCTGGCAGTGTTACTTGATCCTCAGTAACCCATGTTTGTCTAGCCGTGTGTTATTTGATCCTCAGTAACCCATGTTTGTCTAGCCGTGTGTTACTAGATCCTCAGTAACCCATGTTTGTCTAGCAGTGTTATTTGATCCTCAGTAACTCATGTTTGTCTAGCCGTGTGTTACTAGATCCTCAGTAACCCATGTTTGTCTAGCCGTGTGTTATATGATTCTCAGTAACTCATGTTTGTCTAGCCGTGTGTTATATGATCCTCAGTAACCCATGTTTGTCTAGCCGTGTGTTATATGATCCTCAGTAACCCATGTTTGTCTAGCCGTGTGTTATATGATCCTCAGTAACCCATGTTTGTCTAGCCGTGTGTTATATGATCCTCAGTAACCCATGTTTGTCTAGCCGTGTGTTACTAGATCCTCAGTAACCCATGTTTGTCTAGCAGTGTTATTTGATCCTCAGTAACTCATGTTTGTCTAGCCGTGTGTTACTAGATCCTCAGTAACTCATGTTTGTCTAGCCGTGTGTTATATGATTCTCAGTAACTCATGTTTGTCTAGCCGTGTGTTATATGATCCTCAGTAACCCATGTTTGTCTAGCCGTGTGTTACTAGATCCTCAGTAACTCATGTTAGTCTGGCAGTGTTACTTGATCCTCAGTAACCCATGTTTGTCTAGCCGTGTGTTATTTGATCCTCAGTAACCCATGTTTGTCTAGCCGTGTGTTACTAGATCCTCAGTAACCCATGTTTGTCTAGCAGTGTTATTTGATCCTCAGTAACTCATGTTTGTCTAGCCGTGTGTTATATGATCCTCAGTAACCCATGTTTGTCTAGCCGTGTGTTACTAGATCCTCAGTAACCCATGTTTGTCTAGCAGTGTTATTTGATCCTCAGTAACTCATGTTTGTCTAGCCGTGTGTTACTAGATCCTCAGTAACTCATGTTTGTCTAGCCGTGTGTTATATGATTCTCAGTAACTCATGTTTGTCTAGCCGTGTGTTATATGATCCTCAGTAACCCATGTTTGTCTAGCCGTGTGTTACTAGATCCTCAGTAACTCATGTTAGTCTGGCAGTGTTACTTGATCCTCAGTAACCCATGTTTGTCTAGCCGTGTGTTATTTGATCCTCAGTAACCCATGTTTGTCTAGCCGTGTGTTACTAGATCCTCAGTAACCCATGTTTGTCTAGCAGTGTTATTTGATCCTCAGTAACTCATGTTTGTCTAGCCGTGTGTTATATGATCATCAGTAACCCATGTTTGTCTAGCCGTGTGTTACTTGATCCTCAGTAACCCATGTTTGTCTAGCCGTGTGTTACTTGATCCTCAGTAACCCATGTTTGTCTAGCCGTGTGTTATATGATTCTCAGTAACTCATGTTTGTCTAGCCGTGTGTTATTTGATCCTCAGTAACACATGTTTGTCTAGCCGTGTGTTATATGATCCTCAGTAACTCATGTTAGTCTAGCAGTGTTATTTGATCCTCAGTAACTCATGTTTGTCTAGCCGTGTGTTACTTGATCCTCAGTAACCCATGTTTGTCTAGCCGTGTGTTATTTGATCCTTAGTAACCCATGTTTGTCTAGCCGTGTGTTACTTGATCCTCAGTAACCCATGTTTGTCTAGCCGTGTGTTATATGATTCTCAGTAACCCATGTTTGTCTAGCCGTGTGTTACTTGATCCTCAGTAACCCATGTTTGTCTAGCCGTGTGTTATATGATTCTCAGTAACTCATGTTTGTCTAGCCGTGTGTTACTTGATCCTCAGTAACCCATGTTTGTCTAGCCGTGTGTTATTTGATCCTCAGTAACCCATGTTTGTCTAGCCGTGTGTTACTTGATCCTCAGTAACCCATGTTTGTCTAGCCGTGTGTTATATGATTCTCAGTAACCCATGTTTGTCTAGCCGTGTGTTACTTGATCCTCAGTAACCCATGTTTGTCTAGCCGTGTGTTACTTGATCCTCAGTAACCCATGTTTGTCTAGCCGTGTGTTATTTGATCCTCAGTAACCCATGTTTGTCTAGCCGTGTGTTACTTGATCCTCAGTAACCCATGTTTGTCTAGCCGTGTGTTATATGATTCTCAGTAACCCATGTTTGTCTAGCCGTGTGTTACTTGATCCTCAGTAACCCATGTTTGTCTAGCCGTGTGTTATTTGATCCTCAGTAACTCATGTTTGTGTCTAGCCGTGTGTTATTTGACCCTCAGCAACCCATGTTTGTCTAGCCGTGTGTTATTTGACCCTCAGTAACTCATGTTTGGCTAGCCGTGTGTTACTAGATCCCAAGTAACCCATGTTTGTCTAGCCGTGTGTTACTAGATCCCAAGTCACCAATGTTTGTCTAGCAGTGTGTCACTAGATCCTCAGTAACCCATGTCTGTCTAGCCATGTGTTACCAGATCCCAAGTCACCATTGTTTGTCTAGCAGTGTTTTACTAAGTCCTCAGTAACCCATGTTTGTCTAGTAGTGTGTTACTAGATCCAAAGTAACCCGTGTTTGTCTAGTAGAATGTTACTAGATCCCATTTACCCCATGTTTGGCTAGCAGTGTGTTACTAGATCCCAAGTCACCCATGTTTGTCTGGCTGTGTGTTACCAGATCCTCAGTAACCAATGTCTGTCTAGCCGTGTTACTAGATCCTCAGTAACCCATGTTTGTCTAGCAGCAAGCAAGGAGATGATATCATATACGTCTTTCTCCATATGAAACCATATCAGGAATCGAACCAAGGCCTTCAGCATGACGAACAAAGGCACTCCCATCCGAGCTACCCCGACGCCTTTACTTTATTCTGATCTGTAGACAAACTGACAATAATAGATCTTACGAAAATACATATTTTAATCCATTAAGTACATGCAATATATCACAATTTGAACAAATAGTGTAGCTGCTATGGCGATCGCTCACGTATTAAGCCAGCAAATTACGTTAGAAGCCCATAACAGGTCGGCATGTTTGCAGCTATCAAATATTTACGATAAAGTCAATTGTCATTAATGTCATCCTGCGCGGACAACAGAGCGTGTGTCATCCACCCTTATCAAGGATATTATTATATCTGTATCATATGACACATACCCTGGACCCATTCGCTAACATACCTTTGATTTGAGTCGGTTTCGAAGTACACGGCCCCAAAATTCAATTACACAGGAGAAATCTGTGGAAAGTTAATGACGGGAGGGAGGGATATAATGACGTCACATCCCATGGTAAACGGTGAGGTGAGGTGAAATGGGGTTTAACGTCGCGTCCAAGATTATTGCATTTACATAACGACGTGCATGCACGTGTGTGTGTGTGTGTGTGTGTGTGTGTGTGTGTGTGTGTGTGTGTGTGTGTGTGTGCTTGTACTAGTCCGGATTGATGCCGAGCGCCAGACAGGGTATCAATAAGTACCCTCTTTTAACGCCTTTTAGTATGAGCTCCAGACAGGGTAACAACAAGTACCATCTTTTAACGTCTTTTGGTATGACGCGGCCGGTGCTCTACCACTAGACCACGGAGGCGGTCCCATGGTAAATGGACAAGGGCATGTGTCATAAAGGTATAGGATATATATAATAATATACTTGATGGGTGGATGAGTGCTGCAGGGCATCTTAAATCCAGCACTGCTAACACAAGGCTTCAGAACATTTGATCCTCAATAAGACACACATGTAGTTTATGAGCCGCGGTCTGAAGCAATTTAGCAACCGCGCTGCGCCTGTAACATCCTCGGCACACAAGGGTATCTGATCCACTGCCCGTTTCATGCTCTAGCCATAAGTACATAGACAGGCGCTTTTGTTTCTGAAACATAAGTGTCTGGAACTACAGACGATCGCCTGGAGCAAGAAGATGAGAGCCAACATCATTTCTTTTTTCAGTGATTGGAGGTTACGATAATCTTAACGCAAGCACATCATATACTACCCACTTGCGATAGGGATTCTAAACTATTTCATAGTAGGAATACCCCAACCAAACGTTGAGCGATATATACACCTGGGTTACGAGGATGCGATTGGGGTGATGTATGACAAACTATTGCGTTCCTGACATACGGCCATCCATTCGCGACAGCCACGCCATTGCCAACAACCGAACAGATTAAGAACAGAGACAAATGGTGGTGACTTGCCAGTCATTACATCACATGGCATTATTGCAGGTGACACGTCGGAACCCGAAGGTTTCTTTACACTGCTGTCGGAAATGACTTGACAGAAAGCTATATATAATAGGGTTTGCAATATTGTTTACGTAAGGGCTGTTGTACGCCAGTTCATATAATTTCCTTTCCCATGATTCATAAACACGTTTGTTTGTCTGGATCGCCCGTATCAATAACAAAATTAGGTGCGGCAAATAGCTGACGATGAAAACCATGGTGACAATGAAAAATATTTTCGTGACATGTTCACTCGGCGCGAATGACCTTTTCTCGCCCTGTTCGTCCAAAATACGGTCGTCAAAACTGCGGCGTTTCTCAGTCTGAACACGAAGCTTCTTGCAGATCATGGTGTAGAAGACGATGAGGAATATAAGTATCAGAGCGAAGGCGGCAAACAGAGACACATTTAAAGCTATGGCAGAAGGCGAGGCCTTCAGCTCCTCTTCCGCTCGGCACACGGTCAGGTTGATGAGACGATTGTTCCAGTTGAGCTCAATGGTCTGTGGCCCGGTCACCATAGTGGTCAAGGAACTAACGCTAAGGGCCACAGTAATGGCTATTGCACACAGGATTCTTGCTAAACGGGGCTCTATTGCTCGACCAAGAGGTTGGCATATCTTCCTGTATCGTTCAACAGCTATCAGAAGCAGGACTGTTCCGGAGGACACGCTTGTGGCGTATGCAAAGTAATGGGCGGTTTTGCACGCCGTGAACATGTCGATTGATGAAAGGTTAGGAACCGTTTTAACCACAACGTCGATCGGCATCGTCACAACGCAGCTCATCAGATCCAGAACTGCCAGAACCTTCACAAAGAACGAGAACGTGGTTGGTTTACACTTAAAGTGTTGAATACAGAACACAAGGGTATTTCCGAGAATCCCAATCGTCATAAACAGACTTACAACAACTCCATTGAAAAATCGTGGATTTTGCTTCAAGCTAGTGTACACCATTGTGGTGTTGATGTCCGTAGGGCTTAACGTTGTGTACGTGTCGTTCACAGAGTTGTCCATCTTGTGTAGTGCTAGAGCGCCGACGGGTGTGATTGTCTCGCCACTCACTGACATCGTTGATACAGTACCATCCATCTTAATGTGACTCCTTGGTTATATACTATCATCCTCAGTGTCCTGGATGCATGGATGCGTCTGAAATACACAAATACAACGTCATGCAGATGATAATGATTTTCATAGCTTCATTGTGAACATTATTTTTCTATTCCTAAAAGCACTAATTACAAACAATACAGATGACAACCTCTGAACATCCACGCAACAGGAATGTAATGTGCTCGAGTTGCTGAGTATAAAGCCATCCTATGTATAGAAAGGCTTTCATGACACTTACGACAATCCAACCGGAGTAGAATAGGTCTTCAGCAAACTCGCTTGTCGTAAAAGGCGACTATGCTCGTCGTAAGAGGCGACTAACGGGATCGGGTGGTCAGGCACGCTGACTTGGTTGATGCATGTAATCGTATCCCGGTGCTCATGATGTTAATCACTAGATTGTCTGGTCCAAACTCGATTATTTACAGACCGCCGTCATATAGCTGGAATATTGCTGAGCGCGGCGTTAAACAACAAACAAACGAACAAACGAACACCAATGCACAATAGACTTCTGAAATTACTAGGTGATTTTGGGTTAACGCCGCTTTGAACAGTGTTTTTAGTACCACGGCGTGTCAGCTTGATGAGGGCGTAAACCCCGGAGAGATACGTAATAGTTATCAAAACCTTGAGGTTCGAGTTATATGACAGTCGTGTACGTGCAAAATTGTTCGCGGAAGTGTACAAGGCCCGTACTCGAGTGTCCATCCAACTTGAACCTCAAGGTCCATGGGAGTAACTATTTTACACAATGGCTGGGAAGAATAACCTTTCATGTTCATCTGTTGGAGCATATGAATGAATACCTGGGTACATAATCGGGGCGAACCGGGATTCGAACCCACAATCATAGGTTTCTGGCGTGCCCAAGGGACGCAACTCTGCACAGCGAATCGCGGCGTTGAGCCACCCGTACTGAAATGAACCTTTAGAGAACGCTACTTATGGTAAACACACTGAGCTCTGTATTGATGCTTGGGGCTGTATAGATTTATGGATTTATAGTTATGTAAGTACCTTACAATATACATTAAATTCAATAACTTTATAACATTGATTTGGTTTCAGCCTACACAATTCAAACCTTCACAAGTGGATTTGGAGTTCACCAAGCTTACACACACTAATACCAAATGCCAGACACTGCAAACAAACAGTTTTTGACTGTAGACGTAGTTTTAGTGCGTAAGGATTAATAAATCAAGCGACAGGTCAGTCTATGCACATTAGTTCCGCCTGTAGCAGGCTCTCGCGGTCTTGGAACGTCCGAGCACGACATAGCAGGAGCAGGTTACTGTAGGCATTAAGGACGCGTGTAAGTGTGTGGCTGTCGCAAACCCCATACTTCAACAATACTTGTCGTAGAGCTACCATTTTCTTGTACAACTGGGCTGCCTTCTACACAATACACTTATCAATGCTTGTCGTAGAGCTACCATTGCCTTGTACAACTGGGCTGCCTTCTACACAATACGCTTCTCAATGCTTGTCGTAGAGCTACCATTGCCTTGTACAACTGGGCTGCCTTCTACACAATACGCTTCTCAATGCTTGTCGTAGAGCTACCATTTCCTTGTACAACTGGGCTGCCTTCTACACAATACGCTTCTCAATGCTTGTCGTAGAGCTACCATTTCCTTGTACAACTTGGCTGCCTTCTACACAATACGCTTCTAAATGCTTGCCGTAGAGCTACCATTGCCTTGTACAACTGTGCTGCCTTCTACACAATACGCTTCTCAATGCTCGTCGTAGAGCTACCATTTCCTTGTAAAACTTGGCTGCCTTCTACACTACGATACAGACATACTAGCTACAGCCGTGTAAGTGACGCAGTAAGATCTCTTAGGCAAATCGACTGCGGACACGAGACTTTCGCATTCGTTAAACATAGAGTTTCCAGGTGTTCTGTATTGTTTAATAGGCAATACTTGGAAGTTGACGGATGACAAAGTAGACAAATTTTATGGATAACAACTTTTTTAATTACTGTAAAGGCGACGTGTGGGTATAGAACCTTATACCGTGATCTCGCAAGACAGGTCCTATGCTCTTGTCTGACAACGGTTTAAAGATCTATAACAATACGTCGCCTGTACAATACGCACTATTCTTAATTTGACAGATGAGTATTTATTTGACAACGTACCATATAGTATTTAAGAAACTATGAACAATAATTGGCATGTGCCTGTTTGATCATATGTGAGTAACTAAGACTAATCCAGCCTTTGAGGTATGTGGTCAAATGCTAGTCAACACGTCCATTCACCTTATTGTGAGTGATAGGTATGAAACCTCTGAAAACGAACGCCGGAGTAAGAACCTGTTTGCAGGGCATTTCAAAGGAAATATCTTCCTTCTAACCAATGTCCATGTCAAATCTTGAGTCACAACAGCCACAGGGGTAAATTACTTGATAGGCATGACTTATAGGTTGTCGGATGACAAAGTAGACACAATTTATGAATTACGACTTTTTTAATTCCTGTAAAGGCGGCGTTTCGGTATAGATCCTTATACCGTTGTCAATAAAGGCAGGGGAGTTGGGGTAGTTTAGTGGTTAAACCGTTCCATCTTCACACCGAAGGCCAAGATTAATGACGTTACCAGACATCCCACGCCGTTGTATTGCTGGCATGCTGATAAAACCAGCACAAAAACACACTCACTCACTCACAGCGACCACATATAAAGTCATTTCTCAGACAGAACTAAGTAATAACTCCTATATAGGAATATTATCAATGAAATATAAACACGGTCCAGACAGAGACCATTAGGTGTACACATGTTGGAAATCCTAAATCAATATTTTGAGAATTTGTTCCGGTAAATATACAAAACACATTACTGTGCCGTACCATAACAATACTAAGCCGCCCACACAGGTCCTATAGTAACATGACATTAGGTGACCACACATTGAAATCGTGAATAGATATGTTGACGCATTTGTGTCGGGTAAATATATAAAACGTATATTACAGTACCGTGTCAAAGCAGCATTTAACGCCACCCACACGAGTCTATACATGAAGGTATACCGTATACAGGATCTCAATGAAGTCCCATCACGCCATGACGCACAGCTAAGCGGGTTATCTGGATCTGGTAAATTATTGTGTTTATATTAATGCAATTGTAAATGCCCTGTTTATATCGATTTTTGACATACTAAACCGGACCTTTTCAGAAAAAAACAGTCTGCCCCGGATAAATATAAAACGTAAACGCAAGATAATTATCAGTCTCAATTATCTGCCGAAGCAGATTCCAGTGGGCGTAAAAGGCATAGCGTGAACATTATCCTGACTTACCCTATGTTCGAACAGGTAAGATGGCATTGCTGATATTTCAAGTGAGTGTGAGTGAATATGGTTTTACGCCGCTTTTAGCAATATTCCAGCAATATCACGGCGGGGGACACCAGAAATGGGCTTCACACATTGTACCCATGTCGGGAATCGAACCCGGGTCTTCGGCGTGACGAGCGAACGCTTTAACCACTAGGCTACCCGACCGCCCCCGATATTTCAAGAGATGGGTGAATCAAAACTCAAATTCTGCTTCACAACAGTAGGTAATGTCTTCAACAATAAAATTCAGCTACGTTCCGAAAAAAAAACACTTATCGATTAAAGGCGTGACCTCCTTTGTCTCGTCTGTAAACTTCTGCTGCTCTCGAGTGACGTCACCTATTTTCGAACATCTGATTGGTTTGGCATTTTAGCGGGGTTTTCATGAATGAACACACGCAGAATGCACAACATAATTCTTGCAGGTCTTCATTACAACTTAAAAATAATTGAATGTTTGAAACCTATTAACAAAATATGAATATTTGTCAAATTAAGTGTTCACACTATTCTACTCTTCCTCTTCATCATGACACGGGCATCAATGTCTGAATGATGACGGACTGTTCTGAGAGGTGTACAGTACTTCACATGAACTCAATGTTGACAGGCCGAACGTGTTCTTAAGTCGCCAACTTTGATGACGTCACGCCTCTCGTTATAATGAGACAAATCAATATCATATACGGCTGTTCGAAAATAGGGTATTCGACCTTATATGAATGGATCACTGGAAATCAGTGATGACACCATGTGTTCGCGAAAACTAAATAAAAATATCTTGTGTTTTGGCCTTAAAAGTCACTGAAAAAGCTTTTATATCCTTTCACAAGAATGTTTGTGTATATTAAAATACCTATATTTCGAGCAAATGTTATACTGAAGGGCATCCGTCTACACAAGAAAAGACCCTGGTGTCTTCTAATCTTTCATCATTCTCTAACAGCAATTGTATTTCAGGGTTATTGTCTCTGTCCTGTGATCATCGGCTCTGCGTCTACGGTTGCCTATTTAACCAAATTTATAGCCAACTACAAAGTCATTGCTTGTCTTTCAACCGCGGAAATTGAAGTGATTGAGTCGCTACTTTCAGCAAGTGTAGTGCCTTTAATCTGTCAGTGCCAAGATACCTTTGGGGACAGTTCTTTCTGCCTGTCTGGCATGGCTATAAAAGCTGATCGCAAGGTCAAAGCCTCGATTTAATGGCATCTGCGGTACAGTCAACATAACATGTTCTCAACAACCCTGCCTGTCTTTTAACTCACTCGAGTACTGAGTCACAGTTTACTTATTATTCAGTCATATTGTATTTCTGTCAAAAGTTCTTTGACATAATTGTTAATTCGCCCTTCTCCTTCCTGATTGCCTTAATAATGGCAGCAGAGTACAGACAGAATCTGTACCGGACTAGACGGTGAGTCACCGAATTTCTATATTCTACTGTAAGAACGTCGTTCTTAAAGAACACATACGTTTAAACGAATCCATTCTTCAAAGGATTGATTCGTGTTTACACATGGGCTAATTTATCAGGTTCATGTACTTTTAGCACTTTCCTGCACACATCCACAGTCGTATATCTTTGTGGTCATGAAGACAGGGAGTGAGGTTGGTTTTATGCCGCTTTGAACATTATTTCAGATTGATTACCGTGTCAGCTTCATGCGGGATTAC